GCCAGGTGATTCTAATGTGCCACCACTTGTCTATTATTATGGTCTGAAGTTTTCCCAAAAATTATTAGATTATGAGAGCTGGAACCTAATCAGTTCATCCTAGTTGACAGCTGTAGGTGGGTAGGATGTGGCTGGAGAAGGTGGGTCATTGGGGGCATGCCCTGAAAGAGTTCATTTTCCTGAAGTCACCCACCCCCACACCCCTCCCCACATCTTATTTGTCAAGTCCTGAGCTGCTTTCCTCTGCCCCACCCTTCTACAATACTGCCCTACCTTACCTTAGGTCCAAGACCAATGGCGTCAGCAGACCATGTAGTGAATCTCTGAAACCATGAGCCAAAATAAACTTATCCTCCTCTAAGTTGTTCTTGTCAGGTATTTTGGTCACAGCAACATAAAGCTGACTATGTAATCTATGCTCTCTTCATTACAAAATCTCATATAATTTATTCCTAATCTTCTCCAACAGAAAAATATCAAATTGTTCTTTCAAAAACATTGCTTTAATCATGTTTCTTAACTTGAGAATTTTGAATGCTTTCCTCCAACCTCTCTGATCAAATACAATTGGAATTCTAGTACTTGTTTTCTGCAATTCAAAATGCCCGTAAATTTTTTCTTCTAACAAGTCTGCTTTCTTTCTTTCTCCATTCAATCATGTAATTAGCAAATATTCTATATCTACCTGTTAGGCTAAGGGAATTATAGTCCTTCACTGCTCATAGTTTTCTCTGCAACTATAAAAGTCAAATACTATGTAAGCATGTAATTATATGTGATTAGAGTACTAGTCCCTAAAGAAATCCATAATACAAAAATTAAGCTAAATTTACTTGTCCAAGATGGTCTTCCAAAGAATGTTACTCTAAATTAAACCACTACTAAAAGTTGATTAGCTAAAATGGAGAGGAAAAGTAAAGACTTTGAAAAGTTAGGCCCGCAGAAACAGCATACATGGTTAAATGAAAGAAATACTGTCACTTTTGAAATATGAAAATACTTATATTTTGTAAGGAGGATATTATATAAGGGGAATCATTAGATGTGAAAGACAATCCACTCAGGCCTTTACTACACATTCTAATAAGTTTAGACTTTCTACTAAAGGAAATGGAAAGTCACTAAAGGATTCCATGTGAGGAGTCATTTGAAGATTTACATATTTGAAAGATCATTTTGGCCATAATATAGATGAAGAGTGCTGAGGGCCATTGCCAAGTAGGAATGACGCATCGAAATTTCCTTGCCAGCATACCCCATGTTGCTTAGAGGACATTCGATGAGACATTGCATGTATGCTTTAGTAAGGTGACCTTGCTCAAAGACCAGGGCGGATCCGGGTTTAGAGCTGATCAGGTTTGAGGAAGTTTCCCACTCCTTGAGTTTAAGACAAGTTTAAGGCGTTCCCAGTTTAAGACAATAGGGGTTTTAGGGAAGTTGGAGGTTGAAGATTATTGCTGCTGGGATTAGGGTGTTCCTGCTGCTTGTTCCAGTTGAGTTCTCATAAGATTCAAATGGGATTTGGAAAAAAGCCTCCTGGAGTAGGTGAATGGGGCTGGCAGAACTTGGATTTCCCCAGAACGTGTTTGTACAGGGCCGGTGTGAGTTCGGGAATAAAGGATTGCTGTTTGAATCTACAAGGTGTGTGGTGGCTCGTGATTCTGTGCCAAGCCGAGACATTGGCAGAAGAGGAAGCAAAATTTGTGTTGTAAGGGACATCTGAGAGACTGTTGCAGTAATAAAGAAAAATATGGTAGGTTTGATGCATTGGATTAAGGAAAAGAAACGTGATTTGAGAAGTAGTTCAGATGAAGAGTCAAGAATACTTGAAAACACAAGGAATATGAGAAATGGGGTGATGTTAGGAATGACATATTTTTAATTTGGAAAAAGTTGGTGAATGGGAGCATAATTTACTGAGTCAGGGAATGCTGCAAGAGAAATAGCATTCTCTACGTTATTATTAGGGGGGTATGATTAATTCATATTTATGTATGGTAATTTGAGATTTCATAAAACGAGGTGGTTCTGAATAAACACACTGGGAAAGAGAGTTGGGGCAGATAACAATCAGGAGTGGCCACAAATGCCAAAGAAGGGGAGAATTTGTAAGAAGAAAGGAAAGGCACTGAATGCCGAAGGAGGGTGTTTGTTTTGTTAGATTTGCAGTCCCACCAGTTGTTGCTAACCTAAGGGAGAAGCAGATTACAGTGTGCTCAATAGAGATTGTGAAGAGAGAAAATGGAGAATGAGTATGAGTATGGAAATCTCTTCCAAAAATTTGGTCAGTAAAGGGAAGATATTGAAACTACTGGCAGAAAACTTATGCTCAAATGAAGATTTGCTTTTCTTGCATCATTAATCTTTTTAGGAGTTTTATCTTGACTTTTAAATTTGAAAAGTGGACTTATGTTTAAATTCTGAAGGATAGGGCCAGAATAGATTGGGGAGTTGAAGACCCTGAAGAGAGAGGGTCTAACTAATGGCCCTAAGCCAATGATAATTAAGAGAGGTTAAGATCTAGAACAGAGCTAGAGCCAATTGCTTTCAAACAGAAGTCCCTTCCCAAAATTGGTAAGACAGAAATAGTTGATTTAAAGGATACTTTATTCCAATGCAATCTTTACTGTTCCACAATACAGTAAAGAAATTTTTATTTAAAAAAAATTATGTAGTAATGAAAGCACTTGTGCCAAGATATGAAAAAAACACATTCAAAAATATCTACAGACAAATCTCACATATAAATATCAATGCAAATATCCAGAGTAAAATCTTTAAATCAGAATAAAAAAGAAGTTCCTTAAATTTGAAGCATATCACAAAGGAAACATTATTAATCTACATCATCTAGTTGATTCTTCCCTCCAGGAGAAAATTATATAGCTATTCCAGAGGTCTGAAAAGACATATGACAACATTAAACATCCATTTAAGAACAGTCACTAAAATAAGAATATATTAATACTGGGGCTGGGTTATGGCTAAGTGGTACAGCACTTGCCTAGCATGTGTGAGGCACTGAGTTCAATTCTCAGCTCCCCATATACATAAATAAAATAAAGGTCCATCAACAACTAAAAAAATAAATAAATTAGAAATAATATATGAATATTGTCTTAACATTTAATGTGGGGTGTGTGTGTGAGAGAGAGAGAGAAAGAGAGAGAGACAGTGTGGAAGACCATCAGCTTCCAACTAGCAGCAATGTAATGAAAGCATGCCTGCTGAAGTTCAAGTGAGAAAAAGAATAGTCACACCTAGCATTATTATTTAATTTTATACCAACAAGATAATAAAGATATAATGCTTAAAAGACAATGGTGAAACTCTCCCTATTCATAGACAATTAAATTTATCCTTGGAAAACACAAAAGAATAAAATAGAGGAAAGCAACTTTATAAAAGCAAGAAAAGTGATTAAGATAGCAAAAAATATGATTATAGAAACTAGGACCATTCAAATGTAGAGATAATAACTCTGCAGATAAATAGAAGAGAAAAAGTATATGCAATAGCCACAGAAAGATAAAATATTGTGAATAAACTTAACAAAAATGTTGCAAACCCCTATAGGTAAAGCTTAAAAATTTTAAAGTACACCTGAACTAGACTGAGTAAATTGACTCATCATATTATTGAATAGGAAGGCTCAACATTATTAAAATATAAACACTTTTTAAGCTAATTTATGAATACACGTTCAATAAAAATAACAGATATGTTTTAGAACTATACAAGCTAATTCTAAGTTTATATTGAAAAAAAATTCATAAGGGTAAACAACCATTAAAACTTCCAAAAGAGCAATGAAGTAGACTAATTATACCAGGTATTAACATCCGAGAAAGCAAAGTTGTCCAATAAAAGTATAATGAAAGCCACATGTATAATTTTAAAATATTTACTAGTTAGAATCCATACAATTTTTAAAAAGCTAAAATTAATTTTGAAATGTATATTATTTAACTCAATATATTCAAAATATTATCAAATGTAATCAATATAAAAGTTATTAATAGGATATTGAAAGTTCTTCATGTAACATAAATCTTTAAAATCCAGTGTATATTTTCAACTATGGCATATCTCATTTCATACTAGCTGCATACCAAGTTCTCAGTACCTATCATATTAGGTATCACACCTTCAAAACTAAAATGGTAAGGTGCTACATGAATGAAAGACATGAATTAAACAGAACAGATGATAGATACAAATAGAATATCAATTATTATGTCATAAAGTAGCATCTAAAATCAGTGAGACAAGGATGAAATTTTTAATAAATAGTGCTACAATAAATGGATAAGCATCAAAAGATAAATTTGGATCCTTACCAAGCAATCTTTAAACCTCTACAAGATCAAAAGTATCAAAATGAAATGCCAAATGCAAAGGATAAAATCAGGGGGGGTATGTCAACTGATATCAGAAATAAACAACTAATCCCCTTAATAAATAAAGAGCTTCAAGGTACAGAGAACAAACAAAACAAAAACCAGTAAGACAATAAGAAATTAGGCAAAGGATGTGAATAGTTCTCAGTAACCCAAATACAAACAGTTCTTAAACATACAGAAATGTCTTGCCTCCCATATTCCCCCTCTCATAAGGGTAAAAATACAAAAATGTGATAAAATACTCTGTTGTGAAAGCTGTGGGAAAATAGGCATTCTCATAAACTGCTGATGGAAATATAATAGGCACATGTCCTGTGGAGGGTATTTTGGCAATATCCATCAAAAATTATTAATGTTATCCCACTTCTGAGACTAACTCAGTTACACTTTCACATGAATCAAATGACAAATATACTAAGCTATCATAGCAGGATTTCTTAGAATAGGAAAAAATTTGAATGCAGACCCATAGCCTTTCAATAGAGAACTGTTAAACAAGGGAACATACAGAAGCACACTATACAACTACTAAGAGAGCAAACAAACAAGATGATATTCTGCACACTGATGCGGAAAGAACTCCATGCCATGTTTTCAGTGAAAGAGCCTCAATGTGGAAAACACACACATGGCTCTCTCCTTCTCTCATGCTATTTTTTTTTTTTAATAAGGAAAAGATGTTGCTAAGGGTGTAGGTTGGCGACAGAACATGTGCTTAACATGTGCATGGCTCTGGGTTTGATCCTCAGCACAGGAAATAAAAAGGAGTGATTTAAAAAATCTGCTTTTATTCACATATCTTTACATAAAGAAACACTGGAAGGGAGCCTGCCTTGAGTAGGAGGAGAAAATTGGGTGGATAAAGAGGAAAAGGTTGCGATTTTGATTTCAAACCATGTGAATATATTACCAGTTCACAAAGAGATAAACAAAATGTGAAATACATGAGTTGTGAGTATTTGTGTGTGGAGCATCTTTTGAGATAACAAGAAATGGAGATCATTTTTGGCAATCAGGAAACTTGTTCCAAGCCTGGCTCTTCTGCAATTAGCTACCTTCCATTGCCTCTTACTTTCATTCTGGATGCCATTAAAATAAATGAATGAGAAGTCTTTCATTGTTATTATAATGATGTTTTAACATTTCGATAAATTATAACTTGAGATAGAATTAGTATTTTAGAGTAAATTTGAATTAGAGAAACAATGAGAAGGAAGACTTTGAAGCAGGTTGAGGTTACTCGAAAGAGTTGATGCAAACAAAGAGAACTGAAAAGGGAAAAGAACAGATTTCTCTAAAATGTTGAGGGTCCAACTAAGGATGGTGATTGTGAATTTGCCCAGTTGTGTGATTTTTTTGTCTTCTTGTTGAATAAATGAATCCATCCATTGTTGGACTTGCTAAACAGAGAAAAAGGAATTATAGAGTACTTATAATAGAGGTAAGAAGTATAGGATCCAGTTAGAGACTGGGTGATGTTCTGGATCAGGGAATATGGTAAATTCCCTAAATGGCGGGGGCGGGGAGAGGAGGGTGTCAGGGAAGATCAAAGGAAAGAAGAGTGAAGGAGACAGCAGAGGGACAATGATATCATCAAATGGATAAACTGGAAAGCAAAGGGTGTGGAAAGTTTTCCTCAATGACATGTCATATCGAGTTTTCCATTCACTGCTCAGATTCCCTTAGCTCAGACCCTGGTTCTACCTCTTATTTCCATCAGCAATGGATGAGCTGCTTCACCTAGGAGCTTCAGTCACCTCACCTATGAGTAGGAGAAACTGGTGATGCCCTACTCGGGCTTGACCTTTTTATTATTTTAAATCAAGAGCACCAGCAAACAATTAAAATATGACCGAATTTTTCATTATGGTTATAAGACAAATTCTGATTTCAAAGATTTAATGTGGGGAAAAAAAAATGCATCCTAACTTTGAAACGTATGGAATTAGCTTCTTCTTCCTCCAAAATGGAACCTGAACCTTCCATATTAATACTTTAAGGCCAGATTAAGATTTACTATAATGAAATTACAGTCTATTATTAATGTTCGTGACAAATTCACATTCCTTCCAGGAGTTACCGTATAACAGTGAAGTAAATGGGTCCAAATTGTATTCTCCCATAAAGGAGGAGTGAAATATTGTTATTTAAACAATGGTGACAGATAATTATTTCTAGAACAATTCCCACAATATGCCCTATCTTCTTACAATTGCAGTTTACTATGCCTGTGTATTTATAAGTATTCATCAGAAAAAAAAAATGGGGATTGTGGCGCTAATGTCTCCAAATTTAAAGAATATGTGTAACATACAAAAAGAATATGGGTTTAAATTCAAGGTTACCTGTATACTTACTCCACTTACGCTACTGTCTGTATGAATTTGCATAGATTACTTTCATGAGCCTCAGTGTGCTTTTTCTTTTCTTTTACCACTGAGCTATATCCCCATCCCCCTTATTTCTGTATTTTGAGACAGGGTCTACCTCAGTTACCAGGTTGTCCTCAAATTTGTGAAACTCCTGCCCCAGTCTCCCAAGTAGCTTGTATCTACCAAGCATCACTGTCCCTGGCTCTCCAAATTTCAATTTTCTAATATGCAAAGAGGGTAGGATACTACAATTAAAGAGAATTGTAAAGATTAAATATCAGGTGTCTATGAAGTACCTAAGTACAGTAGGCTTGACTCTCCCTAGCCACAACCTTGCTTGCTGCCCTAGCATCCCTACCAGAATAATGTTAAATAACAAGATAGCACTGACAAAGTGTGACCTCTTACAAAATAGCTCTACAGTTACTAAGACTACTCCCCCCACCCAAGTTATTTAGCCACTTCCACTTTTTTCAATATTCCATTAAAAACAGTCTTTTTCTCTTTAGTTTATAATTGATTATCTCAGAAAGGGCTGGTTTGCTCTTTGTGAATAATGCTACATATTGAATTGTGAACAAAATAGCTGAAAACAGACTGAGGCAGTTGTAGTTGGCACACAAATCAATTATAGATCATCATTTAACAGAAACCAAAAACAGACTTTCACTAGAGAAGCAATTTTTGCCCTCAACCTCTTTCTGAGAGAACTAAGAAATATACAGATTTATAAAATCATCAACATATTGCATTGGCTTGTATTAAGAAATATATAACTTTAAATATCAATAATGCCATTGATTTGAGTGAGAAAAGGGTTGTCTCTGTGGTATGTAACTATATGAGTTACCTGCAGCAAACAGCAAGTAGCAAACACCTAAACAAAATATTATTTTGTGGAAATGCAGATATATGCAAGAGAATGATAAGAAATTTGGGCATAACCACAAATATGGTTTGCAAAGCAGTGGGGTGACGGGGGCGTGCACCTGCCTTCTCTTTGTGAACACCTCTTTGCAATGTGATGCTGTTATTCTCTCCACCAACAGGCAGAGTCAACTCTTCCTTATGCTTATGTTGGGGTGATGGGTGTTAGGGTATAGCACTTATAGGGTATAGCCTTATCGAACCTATATCAATAGCAGGTGATGGGTGTTAGGGTATCAGAGTTCCAAGACACTGCTCACACAGACTTGCAGCTTTCATTATTGCTCCTTGGCAACCAAATAGCATCATATAAGATTGTCTGGCTATCCTGCTTGACAACTGAGGGCCTGAGGAAGTCCTGCTCAAAGCCAGAATGTGAGCGAGGCCATCATTTCATCCATTAAACTTCTACATTATTTCATTCACATGAGTGACCTCAAGTGAGATGCCAGAAAAGCCACTCAGTTAATACCAGCTGGAGTAGAGTTAGGAAAAATACTACTAAGTAAGGGAATCAGGGGAAAATAAAATAAAACAAATATTTTAAACCACAAAAATTTGGTGTATGTGAGAGCCAGAGTTGAGACAAAGAGAGAAGGAGGCCTATTTCAGTTTAATTTGTTTTTCAGAAGATTAACAATGAAAGCTTCTTATATATTACAAATTGCACAAGCTGGGCCCAGAGAATCCATGTTACACAAAGATAAGTTAACTTCTTTCTTCTGATTATCCATGCTCTGAACGTTCTGCTTCCGCTGGACTTTTTTGAATTTCCTCTGGACTGATGAGGCAGCATAGTTACTAAAGAACCTTGGCATTTCAGCTACCCAATTCCATCCTCAGATACTCTCCAAACCATTTCTCCTTCATTTTCTCATGGAGTTGGCCACACTCTATATTCTAACAATTTCTGACTATTGCCAGAACTTCATTGATTTTGGTTTGTTCGTTTGTTTTTCATTTTCAGATTTTACTTCTGAAGATTCTTCTTCAGAAACTAGGGATAAACCAGATGCAAAGAGGTTTCAACATCATTTTATGAATATATGGCTTCGTAAATGTCAGTCCACATCTTCACTCACATATGTGAAAGAATGGAATCTGGGCAAAGCTGATTCCATTCAGTCCTAGATAATTGCTTCATCAGGACGGGAGTGACAAGCTACAACAGGTGTGAGAAATCCATGGTCCTTGACCTCAAGATTTACTTTTCTCTAGTACACTTCAAACTGTTGGGATTTGGGGTATTTTGTGTTTGAATCGATTTATTTCACATGCAGTTATAGCCTCTTAATGTTGAATCCATTTTTTTTT